TATAGCGTCTTCAAGCCCGACGTACGATGGCAGATTCTTTGCTAGCATAATCGGCCTTTGTCCCTGCCGATGCACTCATATATCCCCTAGTAGCCTGTGCTTGTACTGTTCAGACGCAAGGCCAGTATGGCCAATTTTCACGCCACGCTCTCGTATCGAACATCGGCGATCGCGCTGGGCCCAACTTTCGCCTCCCCGAGTCTTTGATCTAGCATGTATCCCCTCTCAGATACTTTACCATGATGATACTCATGGGATCCAACTGCATCCTTGCTGCACTCTTCAGCCCGTGCTCGTACCGCCGTTCAGATGCAAGGTCATCATGCCACGGTACACTCTTGTAACGAACATCGCACGCCCTGCTTTCACCTCGTCGAATCTTTGTTCTAGTATGTATCCGCTCTGCGATCCTTTTCGATGCCCTGATAGCTTTCTTACCGGATCGTACAAGGTTCCCCGCGCCATCGACATCCCTTGGCTTCGAATCTTTCTTCTCGCCGTCATCCGTCCACCCGTCTATTTCTACGGCACACACGATCAATTCTAGCAAAAGCGACGCTCTTCAAAGCCCCGAGATCGAACGACATCCTATTTGGAAGTATAACTTATCATTAGTGGCTCACAGACGTCTAAAACGGTGAAACCTTCAACACATTGATGCGTCCTCTACACCTGGACACTGGGGTAGTGAAAGGGAGGACGCAACGCAGGCTACGTCCATATATTATCTTCATCTATTTCTTCTCCTGCTTTGGACATACCCGTGACACCTAATTCTACTGACTCTTATGACTGATCATTAGCAGCATTGACTCATCTCTCACCTCACGCATCCGAATCCGCCTCCATATCACGATCCATCGAACATGCACCCCATCGAACGATGACACAGTAATCCCGTTGTGATGCATCCCAACCCGCCTTCGCTCATTGCGCTCAGCCTGGCACCCAACGCCACACCTGGAAGCTGAAATCCGACGCCTCTCAACCGGAGATGCGAACACCTTCGAACCAGAAAACGCATAACGCATGGCTTTCTCTCTCTCTCTTCATTTCAGTCGTTTCACTTTCAGACTACAGGTCACGGCTCGGACGCTACTGGCGTTAAAGGCTGACGATTCACGACTCGGCCATTAGGGGCGGGTAAGCCACGACTCGGACAAAAATCACGCTCAACTGCATCGCGCGTTCTACGTCTCAGACCCTCTCATTGACTTCATCCCCATCTCCGCCGCCTTCCGAGTCGTAAAATGACAACACTACTCAGCAAGACTGGTGTGGAGCACCACCCGCTCTTCTGTGCCGTCGCCGTCGGCTTGACATCAGCATGCTCTATTTATTTCTACGCTGGGTATGCCGATGAATCGTTCACAATGGTGCTCTGTTGTCTTCCACGCTCGCTTCAGTCACTACCGACGCCGATGTGGTGCTGGCCAGGTAGGTAAGATGAATATCTCGGTCGGCGGCACACATAGGTAGGTACGTATAGTAATTGACGTCCATCGAACGTTGAAGCTATCAAGCAAACGGCCGAGGGTTCAAATTTCCTGCCCCTTCTAACATCTCTCAGACACAGACGACTGGCCTTCAAAAGCCGCAAAGTTCACCAATAAGCATACGAAGCCCGGGCGCGAAGATCTCCGGGTCGTCCACTGTTTCTGCCAGTCTCAGTTCGCGATATTTCTCTATATCTCTATATTTACGCCACCCGTCAGATAGCGCCACGGCTCATTTTTCTCCCCTTTCCTCTACCTAGCTCCACACTGCTCTCTCTCACTCTTCACTGGATCTTCTTTCGAATCAACACACAATGCTTCTGCATCGCTAGCAACTCTAGCGCTTTTTTCTCTACCGCAGATGGCTTTTTCTGTCTGTCTTCACCTCTCTCTTTCGTCTACGGCCCATTCGCAGGCTGCGGTCTTATGTACTGTACATCGCCCTCGCCACCTCTGTTGACCGAAATCATCGCGATATCCGGACTGGGACCGTTTGTGGGCTTATACTTCTTGAACCGTGCCATATCTAGATCTCTTTGATTATTTGAAGCTTTTCCGTCGAATGTACATACAGTACTACTATTTGACTCTCGCGATCGCACTCCACCCTCAGCGTCTGCTTGAGCTAGCCAGCCTCCGGTGGGCTCCCGGGGTATACTAGACCGTGAAAGGCCCCAGCTAAGAGCTTGAACGAGAAGGGGCGTAGTATACTTATCCGACCCGTCCAAGGCGAGACTGGAAGTCTGATCGTTTCTTGTGCTTTGAACTCAATGGATGACCGAGCGCTCCAAGCCAATGATAATGAAAGAGCATGTATATTCAAAGCCATCAAAACAATTGATAAAAGAGGCACGGTGTACGAGAGCATGGGGCAAATAAAATGACAACGAGAGAATTCGAGGGGATGAAAGCATACAAACACGATATTACACAACGAAAATGAGCGATGTCCATACAGAGTTCCGGAGGCGGGAATTCTGCATCTAAGTTGCCCTCGGCTCTGGAACCTTGACCATGTTCTGAGCACCAGCCAGCGCCCAGGTAGCGCCAAAATATTTCTTGAATGGCCAACTCTGGGTTACAGACAGAGGGCCCCAGGCCTCGTCCTCTTTGCACTTCCAGAACTGCTTGGGAGTCTCCTCAGGCCCCGCGATGGCAATGACGGAGATATGGTCCGGAATTTTCGCTTCCTCCTCGGCGGATAGTGGGACCAGAGGCTCGTAGTCTCCGTGCTTTGCGAGTCGCATCTTCTCGAAGATCTCCATGATTGCGGGGCCTTCCTCGGTCGCAAGTTTCCTGTCCGGTTCTCCCTGCAGAATTGAGAGCACAAAGCGGCCAGTTAGGAAAATGGATATAAAACTCGAAAATTCAGACGGAAAGAGGAACAAACGTACCGGTGTGTTGCAGCGAGACATGTAGATCCATTCCGGGTCAAGAGACTGTTTGGCGTCCTTGAAAGTCACTGACTTGATGCTACCGTTCTCCCCAGTAGTAAACTTGGCCTGCAGATGGATCCTGATAATCTTCGAA